TTTTCTTTTTTTTTTTTTTTTTTTTTTTTTTTTTTTTTTTTTTTTTCTTTGTAGTTACGATGTTGCGTTTGGTGCTCGTCCATTAAAAAGGAAAATACAACAACAAGTAGAGACAAAGATAGCCGAGTTGCTGCTAAGGGGACAATTAGAGGAAGGAGATATATGTATAATTAAGAGTAATAATAATTGTCTCCTTTTTGAGGTACAATCGCATGCAACAGGAAATACTAATATATATGAAATTATTCAACCATCTAGTCCTGCTAAACCTACTAGCAGCAGCAGCAGCAGCACCAGCAGCAGCAGTGGTGCAACAGCAGCAACAGCAGCAGCAGAAGAGTCTCCTGCTGCTTCAGATACAGATACAACAGCAGCAAACACAGCAGCAACACTGTCTCCTAAACAGCACAGTGAGGAGACAGTTGAGACACAATAATGTAATACAATACTAACTGCTGCTGCAGCTGCTGCAGCAGCTCCTGCAGCTGCTGCAGCTGCTGCAGCAGCTCCTGCAGCATCACCTGTTCCTGCTACAGCAGGAGCAGCACCTGCAGAAGCAGCAATGCGTTTTGCTTGGTAGCGTGTGTTTAGAGCTGCTGCTGTAGCTAGCTGTTGCTGCAGCTAGCTGCTGCTGCAGCTAGCAGCAGCAGCAGCAGCTAGCTGCTACCGCTGCCTTCGGGTGTACCGACGACAACCGACAGACAAACGGAGACAAGCAGATGTGTTGCTGTCTCCTTCTTTTTTGTCCTTGAATCAATACAAGGGGAGACACTTTATTTGCTGTCTTGCTGCTGCTGCTGCTGCTGCTGCAACAGCAGCAGCAGCTAACCTTGCATCAATACAGGAGAGACAGTTAATTTACTGTCTTATAGTAGCTGCAGCAACAGTAGCAGCAGTTCTTGTCTAAGTACAGGAGGAGACAGTTAGCTAACTACCTCAGTAGCTGCTGCAGCAGCAGCAGCAGCTACTCTCAGACACTCCATCTGCTGCTGCTGCTGCTGCTGCTGCTGCTGCTCTTCTGCTGCTAATCTGAATATCTAAGACTAATGGACCAGACCACTGGTCCTGCTGCAGCAGGGGACAGCAGCAATAATATTTATTTATTTATTTATTTATTTATTTATTTCCTTATATAAAGGAATTATAAAGAAAAAGAAGACAAACAAAAACGGAGACACTTTACCCATGCAAACAAACGAGACAGGAAAATGTCAAAAGCAGCAGCAGCAGCAGCAGCAGCAGCAGCAGCAGCAGCTGCTGCTGCTGCTGCAGCAACTGCAACACCAACTGCAGCATAAGCAGCAAATGAGTCGGAATACATATCTGCTGCTGCATGCATTCACTACAGCAGCTTTGCTGCTGCTGTTACATATCTGATGCCCTGTTGCTGCTGTATATTACTGCAGCAGCAGCAGCAGCACCTGCATATATCTGCTGCAGCCCAACTCTATCTACTCCGTTGTCCCCTTACCAACCCCACCAACCTTACCACGACCAGCACCAGCACCACCGCCAGCAGCAGCAGCAGCAGCAGCAGCAGCAGCAGCAGCATCATCATGAGTATCAAAGAGTAGATCAAGAAAAAGGCCATCATGAGCTAATTGTACAGTATGTATTCTTGTATCTTTTTTATGTATTTGTTTATAAATATATTTATGCTTAATTAACCAATGGTCTAATCTATGATTGGTCCATTGGTCATCTAGGCAACAATCCATACCTATAAAATATATTCTATGGGGCTGCAGCAGTACACCTATATATAATGATTCTTGTATACTTATATGTGCTGCATGCGCCTTCTCTCCTATTGCATCTATTATTAATACCTGTATACATATATATAATAATATACATATACATATACATACACATATACATATACATATACATATACATATACATATACATATACATATACATATACATAA